GATCATGGCTCTCCACTTCCTCCACCCCTTGTAGTTCTCAATATGTTTTGTCCTTTTGCTGCTTATTTCAGACCCAATCACCCAGTTGCTAAAGCTCTCCAAGTATGTCACGCGTTGTTTTTCCCTTGTCTCACTTTCTAATTCTAAGTATTTTATGTTCCGTGTCCATTCACGGCGTAGGCGATCATAGCCCTCTACCTCCTCCTGTCCGTTGTAACTCTTAATACGTTTTGTCTTTTTGTTATTTCATCTAGACCCTGTTCCGACATCCACTTGCTCAAGCGCATTAAGTATGTCATGTCCTTCTTTCCCTTTATCCGCCTTGAGGAGATAGTCCTGCCCTTAGTCAAGAGAGTGGCTTCTCGAAGACCCTATGTCTGGCAACAGGACTCTACACCATGACACACAAACAGGCGAACCCAGTCATGGCTCTCAAACAACTTTTGCGATCACATCACCCCTTATATCTAGACACCTAAATGCCCAAACTGAAACCCCTTTGATTATCATGTCTGGGACGCAGTTGAGCGAGAGACCAAAAAAAAAAAAAAAACTCCTTGTAACATCAAAGATGAACTGAAAGCAAGGATTATGGCAGCATTCACCAACTTAAACAAGAAAACCGTCCAGAAGAGTTGCAGGAGATTCTGAAGTCGTCTAGAGGTTGTGGTTGAAGCCAATGGCGGTTATATTGAATAATTGTACTCTTTAGTATTTCAAGATATTTTCGTGTAATTTTGGTAAATGTATCTATTAAAATGAGATATTAGTGTTATTTTTATTTTTGCGTAATTTAGATGAAAATTTATCCATTGCACCCTGTACATGTTAATCGAATACTTGAGACTTGCAATTATGCTTGTTGCTAGTTGATATTTATGAATATACTAGTACGAAAAGTACTTTGCGGTGATTATAGTGTCAACTCTAAAAAAATAATAATAAAAAACAGTTTTTAGTTGGTTCAACGCCTGTGTTTTGCACTGAATCGGCCGCCAACAGTATGTGTTTGGATGATTCACCCGTCTTCCATTTTGATAGTCGACGGACGAAAATGGTATCTGACCTGAATTATTTATGCGATAGAAATATGTCCATTCATTATAGCGTCGCATTTGAATGATCGATGCGTTAAGAGGCAACAGGCCATTCAAAAATCACTTAGAGTTATGCTATTTTAAAAGACAGTCAAATTACAATAAATGATTCAATCGTACATACACGTAACACAGACACGTGCGCGTGAATAAATGTCAATGGTCCGTGACTTGGCATCTCGGCTTGAGTCACTTCCCCACCGTGGGAACGTGGCTTCCCTGCGTCTTTCCTATAAGTATTTTCATGGCAATTTTTCATATACCTCGACCTCAAGAATTTAAGCACAGTACTAGATTGGCAATTAGGTCTCATCCTTTTACTATTGAAATAGCTAGATGTAACCGCAAGTCCTATTTTAATAGTTTCTTCTCTCATTCTTCTGGCTTGTTGGTTTCCTGCCACTCACGAACTAAACGCTTTCTTCTGTTTCCCCGAGTCCTTTAATTTTTTCATTTATTGTCTTTTTTCTTCACTATAATTGCCCCTTTGTTAGATTTAGCTTTGAACCGTTTTATGATTAAAGATATCTTACTGGAATTCTTCAAGATTACTATAACACTGTTGGACTCTACTTTGAACAATAATAATGTATAATTACTCTCCAAATTTAACAGAAGAATCGTGATGAAATTGATAATAAAGGAAATTGACATGTTCATCATTAATTAATCATAGCTAAGGATCGGAAGTTCACGAAGGATTGAAAAAAGTTCATATATATATATATATATATATATATATATATATATATATATATATATGTGAAGAAATATAGTCTTAAGATGTGCTATATTTATGGGATAAAGTGCTCAATATCAGAGCAAATATAAAAGTGAACATAAAAGTCAAAACTTAGAGGCGACAGTCTGTTTCATGCTAGATGTAATCGTCAGGCCACGAGTGCTGTTATTTTTCTCAGCTATTTATATATACGGGTCAGTGGTGCGTTGTGGGTAGTCTATTTTGGTGGTTATAAGTGTTGACTTCTATGCGCCTCTAAGTGTTGACTTCTATGTTCACTTATATATATATATATATATATATATATATATATATATATATATATACCAGGATTATTTTCCAACTTGTTCAAGATGATCTTCACCCTCTCTAACCTTCTAACTTTCTGTTCTGGAGTAACAAGTTGCCTCACTGGTTTAACGTATGATTTTATTTTCAAGTCTTTTTTTTTCACTGCTCTTTGGACTGTCATAGCTGAAACTCCTCTTTGACGTGCAAACGTGATATAGATTGAGTTGGATCTTTTCAAATTGATCTCGTTAGCTCATTTGGGAAAGAGTGTGTCTGAAACAAAACGATTTTAACCTGTTCTCTTTCGAGCTGACTCAAAGGGTTTTCCAGTGATTCTTACGACAAATTGTATGAAGATTGCTAAACGTCTTATCTGAAAACCTGTAAAAAAACCTCAGTTAGTTTAGTGTTTTTTTTAGATATAAAATATTTTACAAATTGAAATTTGTGTTGTTACGCTTTTGGACGTTACACACACACACACACACACACAAACACACACACACATATATATATATATGTGTGTGTGTGTGTGTGTGTGTGTGTGTGTGTCCAAAAAAAGCGTAACAACACAAATTTCCAATTTATAAAATATTTTATTTTTATATCTACACACACACACACACACACACACACACATATATATATATATATATATATATATATATATATATATATATATATGTGTGTGTGTGTGTGTGTGTGTTTGTGTGTGTGTTAATGGTTGGTAACCGGGTCGGACCAGTGCCGTAGTTCTCACCCATGACCAGTTACCCAGTCTAGAAGCCCTTCTCCAACAGGGCCTGCTCCGTTGGCTTGGACTTGTACACCGTATGCCGGATGGGAGGATTTCGAAGGTCTTTCTGTACAGGGAATTGGTCACCGGCAAGATGGCACGAGGGCGACGTCATCTTCGTTTGAAGGACGTCAGCAAAAGAGACAGGAAGGCGATGTACATGGACATCGAGAAGTGGGAAGACGTCACCAATGATCGTCCACGCTGGAGACGCGATTTATACCGAGGTAGAAGAAACGGAGTCTTGCCGTCGGGGAGAAACGTGCCCGACCGAAAAAAAAATCAACACGAGGACATCGTAAGTGAGCATTATGTATTCGTTGCAATCGATACTGTCACTTCCTTGTGGGCCTGCAGAGCCATAAAAAAATGGTGTGCCATCATCAACAGTTGAGACATAACCGTTCGGGCGCAGATCTATGGTCCCACGAGACCGACGTATGGCACACATACAAACATACAAACTCACTCTCTCTCTCTCTCTCTCTCTCTCTCTCTCTCTCTCTCACACACACACACACACACATAATCTATGTCACACTGCGAAGCTATTGAGCACTTTCTTAGCGAACATTTAACATGTCTAAAAATAAGTGAGATCAGAGTAAGTTTTTAAAAGAATCTGTCTTGATAGGTGTTCTGTGTATAAATACAAAAATAAAACCTTGATAAATTTCCTCAGCAAACGAAACGAGTTGGTAAACAGAAGTTTTCCTTTTGTTATATATATATATATATATATATATATATATATATATATATATATATATATATAATTGTACATATGTATGTATATATATAATAATGATGAAAACAGACTTTAGAACCCATATTAATATTTTCTTTTGAAAATTGATTCCCCGGTCTCGTCTTATCAGACCAATCGGTTTTTAAATCCATTTATTTTAAAAACCCTTTTGGTCTGATGAGACGAGACCGGGGAATCAGTTTTCCAAAAAAAAATATTAATATGGGTTCCTAAAGTCTCTGTTTTCATCATCATTATATATATACATATATATATATATATATATATATATATATATATATATATATATATATATATATATGAATTTTCAATAGGTGTTTCTTTCCTCCCAAACTATACCTGACGATTGCATAGAACATGAAACTCCGAGTTGTACTGCCCGCGTGGGGTATTATGCATATTTATTAACATATACTTAATAGCTCTGTTATTTAGCACTGATCACTGTTTTTCTTATGTACACTTATATGTACATTTATCTATATTTATCCATTCAATATATATATATATATATATATATATATATATGAATTATTCACACAAAAACTAATGCAAAGGTTAATGATTTAAATGGCGAGACATCCATCATCGCAAACAATTCAAATAATATACAAAAACCTGTTCCGTTATGAATGAAATGATCCTTGTTTATAAATTTCTGCCGTAAAATATCTTATTTTGTACAAGAAAATGTCTGTTCCTAAGACATCCTCAGAAGAATATGTTGTTCTTGTTTTTTTCCTTAGTAATAAGGGACAGACGAAAATATATGTATTGTTGTAATCCGAAAAAAAAACGGCAGAAATTGAAAACAAACAGACGATCATTTCAATTCATAACGAATATAAACGGATCATTTTTGTAACGGATACGGAGGTTTTGAATTGTTTGTTTATGATGGATGTCTCGCCATTTAAATCATTAACCTTTGCATTAGTTTTTCTGTGAATAATTCATGTATTTGTAAATTGATTGCACGTTTATTGTAATATATATATATATATATATGTGTGTGTGTGTGTGTGTGTACAATTAGTACAAGTAAAATGTTTGTCACTTAGTTCATTGATGTTACCTTCAGTATCACGACTTCAGAGTTTCGTAGACGGACACTTCGGGAATCACACCGCCCACTCATCAGGGGTATTTAGTTACATGTTAACAGCATTTTTTCATTTATACGCTTATTTAAAGTTCTTTGTTATAGATATTTTTGTATATTTCATGCTATTTCCTGATCTCCGGTACATATTTAGACATAAATTTTGTAATGTTTGAGTATTTTTCGAAAATTGATATAAAAAGATGTACCGGAAACGAGAAAAATTAACCGAAATCATCCGGTTTGTGAGTTTTTGTGAGCTAAAATTTGAAATATTTTTAGCAGAATAGTGGGGGAATAAAATGTTGACATAAGAATTAACACCGCATGGCCTGAAGGTCAGAAAACAGTGTTGACTCCAGAGTTTGTTGACTTATGGCGACATCTTGTTGTAACAACGGTTTTTATAAGCTCACCGAACTTAGGCAATGTCAGTACCTAGGAGGGTGGCCACTAGGGAATACCAGATGGTGTTTATCAATCCACCCACGGGGATCGAATGTGGCACAAGGCCTTTTTAATGTGGGTATGTCTGAGCCCGTAGGCCCAGCCAAAAATAAAACCCATCTAAACCCGTCCAAGCGGGCTAGTTCCGTCAACCTCCCCCAACGAAACCCCACCCTTCGGCGGAGCCTCGTCCGGGTTCCCCTCTGCAATCAGAGAGTTCGACAGACACCCGACCCGGCAGCTCACAAAGCGCAGATACTGCACTTTGATCCTAGCCACCGGGCCGAGCGGGTATTCTTTTAAGTTGGTGAAATGGATAACTGATCGAAAATGGAAATAAGGATGCTGGGTTCTAATTCCAGTTGGGTTCGTTATAATCAGATACGCATAAATACTTTTGGGAAATGGCTTAATTCATTTATGCTTCTTCCAGATGTCAGTTATTTAGTAGCGCTTGCGTCAGTGAATCATTATTATTTCCCAAAATTTAAAAATATATTGTGGCGTTAAATAAACTGAAGATAATTCATAAACGGCACAATCATAGCAGTGTCCGTATTATTTCTATTCATATCTATCTATCTATCTATCTATCTATCTATCTATCTATCTATCCCAGTTTCTTTCTTTCTTTCTTTCTTTCTTTCTCAGTCTCTTCATATCTATCTATCTATCTATCTATCTATCTATCTATCTATCCCAGTCTCTTTCTTTCTTTCCTTCTTTCTTTCTTTCTTTCTTTCTTTCTTTCTTTCTTTCTTTCTCAGTCTCTTCATATCTATCTATCTATCTATCTATCTATCTATCTATCTATCTATCTATCTATCCCAGTCTCTTTCTTTCTTTCTTTCTTTCTTTCTTCATATCTATCTATCTATCTATCTATCTATCTATCTATCTATCTATCTATCTATCTATCTATCTATCCCAGTTTCTTTCTTTCTTTCTTTCTTTCTCAGTCTCTTCATATCTATCTATCTATCTATCTATCTATCTATCTATCTATCTATCTATCTATCTATCTCAGTCTCTTTCTTTCTTTCTTTCTTTCTCAGTCTCTTCATATCTATCTATCTATCTATCTATCTATCTATCTATCTATCTATCTATCCCAGTCTCTTTCTTTCTTTCCTTCTTTCTTTCTTTCTTTCTTTCTTTCTTTCTTTCTTTCTCAGTCTCTTCATATCTATCTATCTATCTATCTATCTATCTATCTATCTATCTATCTATCTATCTATCTATCTATCTATCTAGTAGCGTAGTAATAAATGACGAGATAATTAACATATGGATCCGTACTTCTGTCGATATTCCGTGAAATATCTGTGTGACTGTCTTTAATTATTTTGTATTAATGTGTGTGTCTCTCTCTCCGGTAATTTTGTTAGGATCAGTGTGACGTACCCGTGAGTTCTATAAGAAGTATTACGTGCGCGTGCGCGCGCGCACACACACGCACACAAACACACACAAACACACACACACATATATGTGTATACATATAAATAGGTATTACCCAAGGCTTAAAATGTATTTTTATAAAGGAAAAATCTTTCTTGAATAATTTACTTTTATTTTAAGCTAATAGATTAAATTTAATATTTCCGATAAGCAAAATACTTTGCTGTATTTCAAAATGAATTGAAATTAAGTGGATTATGTTTTTTTTAAATTGCTAAAAATTGCTGATTTTACTATTTTGCTATTTTATCAGAAAACATTATTTTCACAAAACTTCTTTCAAAAATAAAATATACTTTTTTAAAATTTTATTTGAGGAAGATTAGCTGATTTAAAATTTAGTCAATCTGATTTGAAACAAATATTACTTTTTAACACGGATGTGGGTGTTTCATGACATTTTGGCAGCTCTATTGACAGCTAGATGTTTAGGAAATTTAACGAATTTTTTCTGCAAAAGACTTATCCGTAAAAGTACTTGACGAATATAACTTGAACGCCTGTTTTATATCATTTTTGACTACCCAGTAATCTTAGAATTTTGAAAAATATTCTAAGTAATCTTATGTTTTATATTATTTTAGGTACTTTGGTCTTAAATTTACTATAGTTACTGATAATTTCGTGCACACACACACGCACTTGCGCGCAAAATTTCTTAAAATACAAGGATCACTAAATTGTAGTAAGTGCTTCTATTTATGTAAGTAAATATAGTTTCTACTTAATAACCACCAGATCCTCTAATCGGAACAAATTAATAATTTTTTTAAAAAGTTTATAAATAATTCTAATTAAAATCTTTAAAAAATGAAAACAATTCTTGTAATAATTAATTTTCATAAAAAATTTTTTTAAAAAAATGCTAATTTGGTGTTTCATGCTAGACGCAATCGTCAGGCCGCCTGACGATTGCGTCTAGCAGGAAACAGCCTGTCACCACTGGGTGTTGACTTCAATCTTCACTTTTATATTTACATACGCTATATCTCTGATATTGAGCACTTTATCCCATAAATATAGCACACCTTTAAATCTATATTACTTATATATATATATATATATATATATATATATATATATATATATATATATATATATATATATATATATATATATATATGTGTGTGTGTGACAGTGATTCAATTTACAACTGAAATCTGAAACTTACGATTTTTTTTATCAGATATATCCTATTTTATTTATTACTCAAATCTTTTGAAGCATACTGTAGACACATACACATGCGCGCACATACTATTGCTCATGCTGACATATATATATATATATATATATATGTGTGTGTGTGTGTGTGTGTGTGTGTGTGTGTGTGTGTGTGTGTGTGTGTGTGTGTTTGTGTGTGTTTGTGTTTGGTGCATAAATATGGACATCGATATTTTCTGAAATAGACCTGTCTGGAGAAATGAATTAGAAAGCCGATATCTTCATTTATCCATTGGCCGCCCGGCGTAGATTAACAAGTTAGTCTTGTTGGCTACATTTACAGTTCTTGGTCAAATTTAACTTTGTATAGCAACCGTGTATTTATTTGTCCATAAACGTAGACACTTATGTTCTTACATATGTGATCAAATTTATTTACATATATATATTTTATATATATATATATATATAAGCAAGTGTAAATGGATATAAATCCGACAGAATGAAGAAATTTTGAAAAAACAAACAAAAATCCTTAAATGTATATCCTTATATATATATATATATATATATCCTTATATATATATATATATATATATATATATATATATATATATATATATATATATCACATTATGAAATGGACAAAGTCCGAGAATTATTTTAAGACATTTTTATTTTTATACATTCTTTTTTATAGATACAAATATTTAAGTAAATGCTCTGTTTTATAACAAACAGTATTAACAACATTTACCGGCCTGAATGTCCGAGAAATTGTCATAGAAAATATGCGTCCTCCGATAGGAATCGAACCTGTATCCTCTACGAGACCGTCATATAGCCTGAAATGCTTTTACCGATGTTTTAAAATAACTGTCGGACTTTGTACATTTCATAATGTGTGACGTCAATGTTTACATTTGGATATGCATCGAGCAGATATGAATGTACGTGAGAAAATCATGGAAAATTGTAGTTTAAAAACAGTAAAATCGACCTTGCCAACCGAAACGCTCCTCTGTGGCTCAATCGGTAAAAGCACGTCAGGCTATATGACGGTTCCGTATAGGATACAGGTTCGATTCCTGTAGGAGGACGCATATTTTCCATGAAAATGACTCATACATTCATGTTACTACTGTTTATTATAAACAAAGCGTTTACTTAAATATTTGTATCTAGAAAAAGAATTTATAAACATAAAAATGTCTTTGTACACACACACACACACACACACACATATATATATATATATATATATATATATATATATATATATATATGTGTGTGTGTGTGTGTGTAAAAGAAACCGAAAACTGTATTATTAGCCAACGTGTTTCGTCCAATGTGGGCATTTTAAAGGTAAAAACCAAATGAATTTATTGAAAACAAAGTAACTATTAACAACAAACAAAATGTCTTCGGCAACTAGAAGAATTTAGAAAAAGCTATATTATTCTTATTGTAAACTGAAAATTACGTCAATTAAAAATTTCGGACAGGCAATAGAATTTCACTTCTCTAGGTCAACTGCCACTGTGTTAATGCTTTCTACTGAAAGAACGTGTCAATCTTTAGGTAAAAACTGAGAAGCTCGAGCTCTTGTTTTAGATAACTCGAATGCGTTTGACAGAGTTTTTAGTATGCCGGTTTTCTTAACAAGCTGAAGGACTATGGGGTCTCCAGTCGTTATTTTCGATTTGATCCAATCTTTGTTGTCTTTGATGTCAACGAACACTCTTTACCACTTTTGTAATGTTAACGAATACTCGTTGTCACTTTCGTAATGCTGGTTGTAGTAGAGACTTTGTAATCGCAGATACAACTATAGTAACGCCGTTGAACAATGTTGGTGTCAAACGCCTTCGAATATCACTCGCACTAATAGCACTTGCTCGATAATACTCTCCCGAACAGTAACCACCGAATAGTAATCCGAATAATAATCCGTATATTTATCACTTAGACACCACGCTGTTTCCCATATATACATTTCCTTTACTAGGGTACTTTGGCGTGGTGTAATGGTTAGCAAGCTTGTCTCGGTAGATCAATTACGATTGAATAGGGTGTTCGATCCTCGTTGAGTGACACATACTTTCGGCCTTGTGCCACATCTAAGCCACGCTTAGAAAATAACTATACATTTCCTTTACCATTAAGTGATCTACTTATTCAAAACGGGATCGCCTGCGTTTGCTCACTGGTGATCTGTGTTCAAACTCCAGTGTCATTAGCGACACTTTATTCCAATATAACACAAGCAATCTTTTACAGACGAAACGTCGCAAGCCTCTCACTGCACTATCGCTATTTCCATGGAAACTTTCAGACGGACTACATCCCTATGTTCCACCAGCTCTAAGCTTCAGGGCCACGGGCATTGTAGCGAACCACCCTCATTATCTCTGTATTATCTTTGTGTTCCACTCAAGTGGATTCTTTCCGCGAACCGTTGCTCTGTGGAACCGACTCGCAAGTGGATGCTTTCCCGATCACTCTAATCTTAACCTGTTCGAGTCTCGTATTAACCGTTATTTTCACCACATATTCGCATAAACTGTGCCTCTTACTCTGTAAACCTCTACCTCGAGTGGCTCCCGGGCCTTGTATAGGATGGATCTCACTGTAAAGAAAAACGTCCTGAAGTCACATAGAAGAAGAAGGAAGAGGAGGAGGAGAAGATGATGATGAAGGAGGAGATGATGATGATGAAGTAGATGATGATGATGATGATGATGATGATGAAGTAGAAGAAGAAGAAGATGCTGAAGTAAAAGAAGAAGAAGAAGATGTAGTAAAAGAAGAAGAAGAAAAAGAAGAAGAAGAAGGAAGAGCAAAAGAAGAAGAAGAAGAAGAAGAAGGTGATGATGATGATGATGAAGAAGAAGAATATGATGATGGGGAAGAAGAAGAAGAAGAAGAAGAAGAAGAAGAAGAAGAAGATGTAGTAAAAGATGAAGAAGAAGGAAGAGCAGAAGAAGAAGGAGGAGGAGGAGGAGGAGAAAAAGAAGAAGAAGAAGAAGAAGAAGAAGAAGAAGAAGAAGAAGAAGAAGAAGAAGAATCCCATGATGGTTGCCACGTCAATATATAAATAACCATCTTAACCAAGGAATACATACCTATCCGCGGGGCACTTTAAGAACACTCTCTTTCTTTATATATCTATATATCTACACAGATGTAAACAAAAATCTAAATCTAGAAGTACCTAATATCTTCTTCCATTAAAACATTTCTCTAAACACACACAAATGTCTGCGCATATGTGTACACAAAGTGTTCTTCAGTATATCAAGGATTAACCTCCTTCAGGGACGACTGTAAATAAAACCATTCGTTGAAAGATAAATTTGGACCCCGCAGCCTTTTCTTTTCGTATTGTCTTTTGAAATATTTTGAAATAGATTAACCCCGCTGTCTGAATATTTGTCCAACCAAGGAATACGCTGTCCGAATTCTATTTCGAAGAGACCTAATATTATTCCCTCCTTGCTCTAGCCCTGATTTAGGAGTCATTCATTCGTGACGAAGATAACAGAAAGACGCCTGACTTTATAGTTTTCTTCTTTTTAGCCACCAGGCTGAGGATAGTTTTCTATTTATCTATCGAAGCTAAAAGGAAACCCTTTCT